GAGGGTTGCGATCCGTTGCCAGTCACGAAAAAAGACAAAAAGGAAAAAAATAAAAAATAAAATAAAAAAAAAAAGAATATGAGATATCTATCTGAGGGCAGCAGTACTCATAATTTTCAGATTTTTTTTTGCAGCCTTTGTGAGTCTTTTCTTATACCCATCTGGATACTTTTATTCATCTTTCCAAAGTCTGTAAATGTTGTGTGTCAGTTAACAGACATTTCCCCTCAATTGTTTTATATATTGTAAATATACTAATAATGTAACAAATTTTTAAAGAAACTAATCCATGTATAACCCTCCTATCGAAGTAAAATATTTTTAAAATTCCTTAATTTGTCCACTTGTACTTATATTTTTCATATATAACAACTTTTTGGTTTTGCTTTTATTTTTTTTTATGTACACAAAAACTTTTAAAACTTTTCCATGTTTTTCTACTTAACTGTTGCAACTATGTTTTCCTCTTTGTCACCAAATATAATTATGGATTATGTGTGAGATTAGTTCTATATTGTATTCTGTGTACCCAACACTATGGTAAAAAATATGTGCAAGAAGACACAAAAGAATAATACACGGTCCCTGCACACCGGATACTCAAAATCACTTTGAGGACGGGAGGCATCTGGATACACATGGTGTCCTTTTTGTTGCTGACTCATCACTATCTGGCCTGATTTTGAATGTAGTTTAGAATACTTGTATCTTAAACATAAGGTATTCTTATATAGCCAAATGTATGTTTGTTTTGCCTACCCAAAATATTCAAATTTTTACCAAAGAATGACTTCACAAACATGAGAAACAGATGAATATGAAGAAGGTTTCAAAACATTACTGGCAATTTCAATTTAATATTAAAGTGTGGTATAAATATCTAGTTTGTGTGCACAGCTTTGAATTTTTAAATTGTTTTTATCAATGGTGTGGTGAGAGGAAATGGATAATCTGAGAGATGCTCGTAGAAAACAGGACCCTCCCTCTCTAACAGCTGTGAAAATTCTAGCCCCAAATAGTAGGTGACTAAATTATTCCTCACCTGGTGAAAGACATTAGTCTTTGTGTGGTTCCCAGCAGAACAAATGACAAGTGCTTGCAGCTCTTGGGAGCCTATTATATGCAGCCTGCTGAGGAAAAGAAGCTTCTAAGTTAAAAAGTAAAATGGCCCCTGAAGTACTATTACTGATGAGAGAGATCAGGTTAGGAGGTTGCAAGTAGACTTTGGGGATCACATTTTTTGGGGGGATTGTAGTTCAAAGTCTTTCTCACCTCAGGCAACTGGTACAGTACATTCAGTGCCATCAGTGGAAAAATGTAACTGTTGCTACAAGGGGGAAAAACTTCTAAGTAAACATTAATACAGGTCCCTTTGACTGCAGAAGATTTATCACATCTTAATTCTATGAGAGTCATTGGCAAAATATAATTAATTCTTCATTTAATTTTTAGTGCCTACATGGGGTGGCCAAGAAGTAATGAGTCATAATTCTCAGGTACAGCTGTCCAACAGGTAACTCTGAGTGTAAATTTGCATTTATCCAACTTAAAATCACGCACTTCGTAGCTAGCATGAGAGCTATTTACACAGCATGTACTTACCAGGCTTATGCGAACAAAAGTAGCTAGTATGGACAAATCCAAAAGTGTAAGTGATCAGTGTT